TGTGGTATGAATGACAAATAAAGAAACTTTGACTTTGACTTTGATATAACCTGTTTTTTTCATGAGTAGTACAACAGAACACATTTCTTCTTCCAGATCAGTACAACTGAACATAGAACTCATCTCTTTCCTAAACAGTAGTGCATGCTTTGTGATGGACTGGAGACCTGTCCAAGTGTCCCCCACCTCTTGTACAGTGACTACTGGATTTGGGCACCAGTGACCCCTGTGACCCAAAGAGGCAGAAGCAGGTCAAATACAATGGATGGATGATGGAAAATAGAACCGGTCCCCTCCTGTGTGGTATAATGGAACACAGAACCCAACTCCTTCCTGAGCGGTATGATGGCATACAGAACTTGTCCACTTATGGTCGATGGAACACAGAACTTATTTTTTTTTCCCCTGAGGAGTACAGTGGAACACGCAAACTGTCTTCTTCCAGTGTGTTATAAATAAGAACAGAACCAGTTTTCTTCTTGGTTTGATGGCATGATATTTTTATGCTGTTTATGCAAAATATATAACCAATCAATCAGATGGTAGCAACTCAAGAATAAAGGAGGTTTAAGTGACTTTTAATATGGTGTGGTAGTTGGTGCCAGACAGGCTGGTCACCTCTTATCCTGCATAACATTTTATTCTGTCTTGAAGACAGCACTGCACAACTTTATTTGTTTTTAAGGGGCACTAAAGAACACTTTGTTTCCCAAGAAGTGTGCCACGGGACCATTTTTTTCTGACTACAAGTGGATGGACGCTTCAGGATAGTTGAATTTGTCCTGAAGTGGACACAGTGAGACACGTGTCTGACCTGAAAGGGTTGTGTTTTCACACTGTAGTTTGAACTGATGGGGGTACCTTACCTTACCTTAGAACTGTTTCAGACCCTTCTCATTTACATTTTCCTAATGGAGCTGTATTTTGACACCTGGGGGGGGTGCTCATAAGAACACCACACAACCAATGAGAGCAAATGTTATTACAGGTGTTTGAGAACACTAACTAAATTTGAAGAATATTTTCCAATGTTGTTTTCCTCTATGTTGCAGAGTAATGCAGTAGAGAGCAGTGACTTAGGTGATCTTGTTGATAATTTTACCACTTCACTGTAAACTTCACTTGATAAAAATTGCTCCACTGAAAAAGAAAGTAATCAATCAGAGGAAGCTGTCTCCTTGGTTCAATTCTGAGTTAGGTATATTAAAACAGGCGTGTAGAAAGCTGGAAAGAAAATGGTGCTCCAATAATGTGGAAGAATTTTATATAACATAGAAGATAGCCTGCTAAAATATAAGAAAGCTCTCTGTAAAGCTAGAACTATATGTTATTCATCTTTAATAGATGAGAATGAAAATAACCACAGGTTTCTGTTCAGTACTATAGCTAGACTAATGAAAAGTCCTATCTCTGTTGAACTACATATCCCTACAACTATAAGCAGTGATGACTTAATGAGAGATTCTTTATGAATAAAATAATTTCAATTAGAGAGAAAATTCAAACCATCCTTCCTACTATTGCCTCTGATTCCCTGTCAGATGAGGCAGCTTTAGAGATGTCACTAGAACCTGATTTATGTTTGGACTCATTTTGTCATGTCTCTGAATTGAATCTGAAGAAACTAGTTGCTAATCAATTATGTGAACATCTGGAGAAAAATAATCTGTTAAAGGAGTTTCATTCAGGGTTTAGAGCTCATCATGGCACAGAAACAGCACTGGTGAAAGTTACTAATGATATCCTCATGGCCTCTGATAATGGACATGTGTCTACACTGGTCCTGTTAGACCTCAGTGCTGCGTTTGAGACAGTTGATTACAATATTCTACTACAGAGACTTGAATATGATATTGTGATTGCTGAAATGGTTCTAAAATGGTTTAAATCAGATTTATTTGATATATTCCACTTTGTAAATATAAATAATGAATATTCTTCATACACCAAAAATAGTGTGTGAAGTTCCGCAGGGTTCAGTGCTTAGACCACTACTCTTGATCTTTTATATACAGTATCCATTAGGTAAAGTTGTTAAACAACATGGGATACATTTTCATTGCTATTCATCTTTGCTGATGATACTCCATTATATTTATCCATGAAACCCAGTGAATCCAATCAGTTACTTAGAATACAAGCATGTCTTGAATACATAAAAATCTGGATAACCCTTACTTTTCTGCCTTTAATCTCAGACAAGACAGAGGTTGTGGTTTTTGGAACTGATTATTTTAGGAATAAACTTTGCCACCTTACACTTTCTTTGGATACCATTAATTTGGCCTCCAATCCTAATGATAAAAACCTTGGTGTTTGTTATTTTTTATGAGGATATGTCTTTTAAACCCCACATTAATAAAATGTTACCAGGGCAGCTTTCCTCCACCTGCGTAATATCACCAAGATTAGAATCATCTTGTCCAAAAATAGTAAAAAAAAACTGGTCCATGCATTTATCATGCTGGGTGGACTATTGCAATTGTTTATTTTTTGGGTGTCCAATTTTTTTTAAGTGTTCAGTTAATCCAAAATGCTGATTTAAGAGTTCTAATGAGAGTGCATAGGAGAGATCATATTTCTCGTTTTAGCTTCTCTCCATTGGCTCCCTGTCAAATTCAGAATAGAATTCAAAATCTTACTTCTAAATCTAATCTATTCTTATTTCCAAAACTACAGTCCTACATGTTCAGGTCTAAAAAACACACAAAGAATAAGAAATTAATATAATTACAAAAACTGGTTCTCAGTGGTGCAGTGGTTTTAACTGTTGCTTCACAAAGAGGGATGTAGGTAAGCACGTTCTTTCCATGTACTGTATACACAGGTTTTCTCTGGGTACTCTGGTTTTCTCCCACAGACCAAAAATATGTACGTCGGGTTAATCGACATCTCTAAAGTGTCTCTAGATATGAGTGGGAATTTGAATGGTCGGTTGTCTTGTAGGTCTCCGTGGGAACCTGTGATAGACTTCCAACCTGTCCAGTGTGTATTCCATTTCTCATCCAATGACCTCTAGAGATAGGCCTTGGCTTCCCTGCAATACTGCACAAAGTGAGTAAAGAAAACAAATGGACAGATAGTCCATACCTGGTTATCCTAATTTCTAAAGTACAGTGTATCCCAGTAAATTAAATCATAAATATGAGGATGGCTGTTGGAGTGTGTACAATGTGGGCAGAGATGGGGAACCAAATAATGAGCATGGGCTAGAATACAGCTTTGTAAGCCATGCACACAAAAAAGGCTGTCAGCTTTAAATTTTGGGTGCTCAAAAGCAAGGTCATTTCAATTAATTTCCATCAAACAAGGTCACATAACACTCTGGTAGCAAACACTTTTAGAGACCAGCTGGACCACAATGGAAAAATGTACTTTTTATGGCATTTTTGAGTTGCTAACCAGTCTCCAATAGGTTTTAGCCCAATGAGATGCTCTCCTAAAATAGCACAGCAGGAAACGTTCCTCTATCCTGAAAAAAAAAAAGTTATAGACTCTAATCTTTCTAAAAGGGGGTTCTGGAAGACGCTTTAATCTGTCCTAGAGGGGTGAATCAGGACATTTTCATCTCATATAAAGAGAGTGGTTTGGGATGATTCTTTCTATCCTTAAGGTAGTTTAAAGTGACCTGAAGGAAGTGTTAAAGAGCACTTTAATATTTTGTGAAAAGGGCACCATAGAATACTTCAATTTCTCAAAAGGCAGTGTTGTAAGACACATTAATTGAATGGGAAGCCTCAGGACAGTTTCATATGGGCCTTTTGGTGTGACTAATCTGATGTAAATGGGCCACTATGAGACACTACTTACACTGCCAACAAAGTCCATGCTCAATAATCCAGGTATACAATCCAACATTTTTCAGTCAGGTCTTCCCCCACCTGAACTGAAAAATGACTGAAAAATGTTGGATTGTATACCTGGATTATTGAGCATGGACTTTGTTGTTTTCAACCAGTTTGACAAGACTGTCGACAAGGAAGAGGGCCGGCAATGGAGGAGGGGGCGTTCCAAAAAGACCATCTTAGCACCAACAAAACTGGTTTGTTCCACTTTGGAGTAAGCTGTTGGGGGAAGAATCAGTTTTGTTATGCGTTTCCTTGACTGATGAAGCCTTTCGGATTGAAGACGAAACTTTTCAGCACAAAAAAAAAAAAAAGTGTCCAGATGACCTGACTGAAAAATGTTGGATACTTACACCGACCTGTTGGCGGCACTCCAGAACACTTTACTTTGTTTACTTTCATGTAAATAGACTGTCACAAGCCAATTTCATCTGCTTTGAGGGGGAACTGCAGTACACTTTAATCTGAGTTAAAGGGTCACCTCAGGACTCTTTAGTTGGACCAGAACAAAGCAAAACAGGACACTTTAATCCGACTTGAGGTGGGAACTTCTAGACACTTCAAACTGAAAAAACAAGGTTAGTTTCATTTGACCAGAAGGGGGGACAACAGGACACTAATCTGTCCTGAATTGGGCACTTCAGGACACTTGAATCCAACTTGAGGATGAGTGCCATGAGATATTTTAATTTCTAGTGAAGAAGGTTCTTCAGGAATCGAAATCTTTCTAGAAGGTGGTGCTTTGGGTTATTTTGATCTGACTTAAAGGGGGGCCTCAGAACACGAAGGGTGTTTACCTTCAAAATTAATGTGCTGCTGAAATTTTTCAGCAAACCTGAATATTTATTTTTCTACCAGATATGCATTTTGTAGTTTTTATTTAACATTTCGAAGTTACAGTATTTATACACAGGTACCATTTGTACAAATGTTTATTAACCAAGTTATCAGTAAATTCTCAGGTATGTGACTTCCTGAGTTGGGTCCAGGAACACCCTCCCTGAAGCTATGTCAGTTCTGAACCAGCAACAGTTTGGCTGCAACAGAATGAAAACCAAAAGTCTTGATGTTTAAACAGTGAACATGTTCATTGCTCCATGTCTGATGATTGGTTGGTTGATGACATGTTCCTACTTGGGAGCAGCAGAGTCCAGCTCAGTTGACAAGTTCAGCTGACAAACTGTTTCTGTGGTTGCAGCGGACCGAGCGGACCTTCAGCTCATGGTAACACTGGACAAAGCTGTGGTAGATGAAGGTGATGGGCAGTGCCAGCAGCACGATGCCGCTAACCACACATAGGCCACCCAGGACTCGGCCTGCCACCGTTACTGGGTACATGTCCCCATATCCCACCGTTGTCATAGAGATGATGACCCACCAGCATGCGGCAGGGATGCTGGCGTAATCCTGGTTTCCAGTCTCCAGGTCCAATCCATGCTCCAGCAGCTGGGCCAGCGCACTGAAAATTGCCATGGCAACACAGATGAAGATGAGAAGCATCACCATCTCACGGTAACAGCGGCGCAAGGTTAACCCAAGAGTTTGTAGGCCCAGGAAGTGGCGCGCCAGCTTTATTACCCAAAAGATTCGAAGCATGCGTAAAACACGCAGCGTGACACCAGCCCTCTGCAGCTGGGAATTCTCACCCGTCAGCATCGTCATGGTAACAGAGACGTAGTAAGGCATGATGGCCAGCAGGTCAATGATGTTCAGAGGACGACGAACAAACTCACATTTATCACGGGACACAAGGAAACGGACGACACACTCAGCTGTGAACCAACCAATGCAAACTGCCTCGATGATCCTGCAGGGGAGACAGACAACAGAGGGAGAAGAGAGAGGACCAATTAGAGAAGGAGGGAACTAACTAATCAGAAAAAGATATACAGTACTATGTAAGAAGGATTCAACAAAATGCTGTCAGAGGTAACTCAATCAGCCCTGTCATGGACTGATGGCCTGTCCAAGGTGTTGTATCCTACTTTCCATTCACTCAATCACAGTTGGAGATAGATCCCATTTTCCCACAACCCCAGAAAAGATCAAATCAGTACTTCATAATCAAACTAATTAAATAAATTAAAGATTGACCCCTAAAAAAAGCATTTTTGACATTTGATTATTATTATTAAATATGCCTTTACATTGTTGGACAGGTTTGCAATCTGGACTTCTCTCTTTCTCTGAGGAACTCCTCTGGTTGTTCTATGATCTCCTTGGCTCCTCGTGGCATGGTTCAGGAAGGGTCTTGCTGTTTTGAGTGCCATGGTGTCACCTGATTTGAATGCAACATGTTGTGCCTTTTGCTTCTCAATCACACACTTCCTTGGTCATCCAGGGTTTCTCAAAAGTTTGTATCTTGATGGTCCTGTAGAGGCAGACGTCCTCCATGTATTTATTAATATTTCCTGACAGACTCGGCATACTCCGCAACATTTGTTTGCAGATTGTCCATGGCAGCCGTCTTGACTGTACCCCATCACAAGGCTCTTTCAATAACAATTATTCGAAATGACCACATAAACCAATCCATCTTTGAGCTTCCTCTGACAGGTCATAAATCAGTGATGAATCCAGCAATGTCCCACACACACGTGAGCTTTCAGAAATGAAGCAGGCATTGCAGAACTAAAAGAGGCGTGAAACAGAATTCAGCAGGGTTGAAGTGGAGCATGACGCATTATATGTGTGACATTCAATTACAAAACACGATGAATTAACTCCTTTTAGTGGTCTTCTTTGTGGTCAACTGGTTTTTACACACACCACCACCACGGGACAAGAGGACAGCTCCTGTCCAACCAGAATGTTGTTAGCACTTCCAAGCTAATGACCACATCAGGAACAGATGAGTCTAGTCAAGTTTCAGAGTTATGACACAACGTATCACTCATCTCCCCATCTCCTCATCTCCTGTTCTGAAGCCACATCCATTTTCAAGTGGTCCAGCATAGTTTTCAAAAACTGGACATTTGCAGACAATTTGAAGGAACCAGCATTCTGCTTAGGTCGGCCTTTAGTTTGTGTGCTAGACCTCCTGGCTGCCCCACTTCCTGTTTCTGTCGCACCATCTTCTGTCTCTTCTGGTAGTGAACATTGCTGGTAGGAGACTACGCAACTTGATGGGGTGCACCGCTTAGCAGATTATTGAAGGTGGACTTGTTTACATTCCTAAACTAAGTCCTCTATGTACAGTAGTTCCATCATTGTCTGCAGGTCACTGACTGACATCAGATGACAGCAATTTTTTGTTTTAATATTTGACAACCCAACATTTTATTTTAAATGTTCCAGCACAAGACAGAAATATGATAACGTATAAATGTTTAAGTTTTATTTTTATGTTCTTAATATTGTCCCAGACATAAAAATGGCTTTGAATGGCTTTGAGCTTGTTACTGACAGTCAACCATACTGTTGCCATGGTGATGTAGCTGCTCAAACTTATCCTCCAACACTGAAAACTCTGACTTTCAGCTGAACGTATCTGCGTAGCAGCAAATCCTGCTTCATGGTACAGCCCTCAGATGTGTCTATTACTGTTTCCACATCATTAACAGTTTACAGCATGCTCTTAAAAGTTTTGCCAATGGAACGTTAACTAAAAACGTGCAGACACCAGCTGTGAAGTTGACACGTTTCCACTGTCTGTTCATTATTAACACATCTGGGGGGTACAACATCAGGTCAGGTACACCTTCAGAAGTGCACAAACCTTTCTAGACTCTAATATGATTAAACAACAGTGGACTGAGCTGATCCATAAAGGCCACATACACAGGACCCAATGGGTCTTGGTTCTGGCCACCACCAGTGATACCAGTTCTGCACTTTGCTCCACAGGTCTCTGATGGATCAAACGGAGGAACTAAATGGTGTCAGGTGTTGTTGTAATGTTTTGGTGGATCAGTTTAAAGACAGACATCGTGACTCTGAGCCTGTGTGTGCCTCGGTGGTTCTGGACAGTCCTACCTGTGCTGGTCCACGGTCTCTGCTGTCTTCCAGTCTGGCAAGGTGCTGGCGCACAGCATGACGATGGAGATAATCACAAAGAGCACCGACACTGAGGCGAGGATCTGAGCCAACAGTGAGGATGTGGGCTCCTCAAACGTCCTCCTCATCCTCTCCAGCCAGTGGCTCTGAGGTTCCTCTGGGACCCGCTGCTCCTCCTCTGGGAAGAAGTGGATGAAGCAGTCAGACAGGCAGTCATCGAGACGGCGCTGGCAGCACGGCTGCAGGTCGGAGCTCTCTAGGCCCCAGTACAACATCTCATTGTAGAAGGACAGTTCGCACATGTGAGGCACGAAGCGCAGCTTCCCATGTTGGACGTACAGCATGATGAAGCTGAAGGCCTCAGAGTGCCTGTCGAAGAAAAATTCATTTCTGTCTCGATCATAGTCGTCACAGAGTTCCAACAGCTCGCTCTCTGATCCGCATCGATGCAGCCTGCTGAGCCTGCTGAGAGGAAGGCGCTTCATCAGGTCGACCGGGAAGGAAAACCTGCGACCGCCAACGTTCAGGGTGCAGAGCCGGCTGCCGAACTTCATGTTGGGTTTAATCCAGATCGTCAGAAAATGGTCAAAGGCTGCTCCCAGATTTCATGTTAAATAAAAAAAGAAGATCTCCAGTCTTACGATCTCATTGTTAAAGTAACACTGCAAAGAAATTTTGTTTGCTGAAACACGGTTGTCTTTCAGAACTCTGAGCTGACATCGTCTCCTCAGAGTTAAAATGAGTCAGCATGCAGCAGATTAGTGTCTTGGAGGAGCAGTGACCTACATTGATTCCTGTCTCACTGCATCATTCTTGGTTTCAACTTCAACAAAAATAACTAAACACACTTGTAAAAAGAAAAAGATGGACCGGATGTTGTACCTCTCAGCTGCTTCTTCAAGTCGACTGAAAATTCAGACCCAAAACCATCAATCTGGATCTCCTTCATAAATCCTGTCAGGCTTCTGCTGAGCTTCTTTACAGGAATGAATCTGAGAGTGAAGAGCAGCAGCAGACCCTGCTCCTCCTCCTCCTGTCTAAGAGGAGGAAGATCAACCAATGAGTCCAACAGTTTCAACTGCTGAACACTTTGATTCATAAAGCAAACCTTCACAGTCATCGAGTTGCTCTTCGCTCTCCTCACATCCCATGTCTTCAGGTCTGACCTTCATCTGCACGTCAACACTTCATCAGCTTCACTCAGACTTTGTGATTCAGAGAACATCAAAGGCAGATATGAATAATGATTTCATCATCTCGTTGATTAACTGCTGAGTTGATTCTGTGGAGCTGATGCCCTCTGCTGACAAAATCTTCAGGCTGTCGATACGACGTCTCAAAAACAAAAACCTGTTTTCATCAAGAAAAAAGCAGCTCATTTGTGATTAAGCACAGCGCGTGAAGGAGGTCAAAGGTTAAAAAGAAGAAGGGAAAGAGTTCAGACTGATACGATGTTTCACTGTCTGCAAAACTATGAAATCTTTATCAGGTCGAAAGAAGCCAGACCACATGGAATTAAAAGTCAGCTGAGCACAGGTGTGATCAGATGAGAGAACAAACACAAAGGATCCCATCAAAATCAATTAATCAACTTTAATTTCCAAAGGGCCACCAGGAACACAGATCAAACAGAAATAAGAGGAAATTAAGCTTAAGGGACGGAGCCAAAGTCCCAGCAGGTGACCCCAAAAAAAGTTACCCTGCTCAGAAGAAGCAGGTTCCTGTTACTGATGAGGGGCGGAGCCTAAACTAAATGGTCAGGTGGACAGGAAGCCATTTCACTGACAGGAAGTGACATCACCTGTCAGAGTTCGACCATTGTGGTCTATATTCAAACAAGAACTCCAGATCTTAAAACTTTCATTAGACAGTGCTAAAAAAAACAGCTCTCTGATCATCTGGCTCAGATAATATACCGTAGCCCTCTAACAAATTATTTGTGTAGTTATGTAAAATGTTAGATAAATAGTTCTGTGTTTTGATGTTACTTTTATCATATTAGTTACAAATTCACTGATACTATTATTTTTTTTATTTTTTTTTCGGCTGCTCCCTGTGTTAGGGGTCGCCACAGCGAACTAAGTCTCAAGAAGACTTGGCAGTTATTTTTACGCCGGATGTCCTTCCTGACGCAACCACAGACCACCGAGCTACCACAGCCCTCTGTGTGGAGCAGAGAGCTGCTATCTAGGACACCCGGAGGAGCAGATGGTGGGAGTTAAGGGCCTTGCTCAAGGGCCCAGAGTGGGCCAAATGAGGGTGGGGGCAGGTGTGAATTCACTGATACTAATGAGGCTAATTAAACTTAAGTTTGTGCTGAATATTTTAACTTGTCTATGTATATATTGACCTTATGACAGAGGATTTTTTTTACATGTTTATATAGATCATATTGTAATTTGAGATTGTCATTTGTTATTTTGTTCTTGTGTTCTGTTATGTTGTTCAATAGTTCAATAAAGTTTTTTTTTTTTTTTAAACTGTCAGAGTTAGTGCAATGGGCAGCTTGAGGAAGTTGCAGAGCTGATCTGTGGTCAGATCTGTTGACGCCTTACAGGAAGATGGAGGTGAAGATGCTGCTGCTTGCTGCTCTGCTCTCTGCTCTGGGTGAGAAGACAGCGTTCCTGTTTGACAGACAACTGTTTGTGCTTTGCTCTATATCTTTTCAGTTTGTTGGTGTTTGTGCATCGTCTCTCATGATTCTGATTGTATGTTCAGAAACTAAAAACAAAAGTTTTACAGGCTTTGTATGTGTGGGGGGAGAAGAGGTTTCAGATGGTGTTAGTCGCTGTCAGAACAAAAACAGGAAGTTCATCTTTCTGTCTTAAATGATCTAAAGCTTTTATTGAAATGGATGTTGGCGACAGACAACACTTCCTGTTTATTCTTCTCTTGTAGAGGTGGTGTTGGCAGCAGGCCACCATGGCCACTCCATGCCTGGATCTCTGAAAAACATCAGTAAGAGCGACCCCGGTCTCCAGCAGGTCATCCTCAGCGCTACCTACTCCTTCAACAACCAATCAAATGACGCCTTCCTGTTCAAAGCCTCAGCCATCTACACGGCACAGCAACAGGTATGGACCAGTTGGATGTAACAGGGACCCTGTTTGTTCCACCACACGTACCACATGTGATCCGAATGACAATAAACAACCTTGACTTGAGATATGACTCACCTGGAGCCAACACCCCATTTCTTCCACACAGACATCATGAAGAATAATCAATTCAACACGACCACGTTCTAAACGAGAGAAAATGATCATTTTCTGAATGAGGCTGAGAGCTGGATGACTGAAATCTGCTAAAGAAGCTAAAACTGAGCTGAAGATGCTGAATAGCTGAACTGTCCAAACTATTGGAGTTATTTGAAAAATTGAAGGTTTTGCCCATAAATATGTTAAGAATGGTTTATGTCTTTGCATGTGAGCTTAAAAGACAAAATGGACGCAAGGGACGTTTAAAGTGGTGTTCAAATATGTTAAAGGATGAAACCTCAGTCCGAATAAAACTAAAATGTTAATTGGAAATACAGTAAATAATTGATGTTGATAGGCTGGATGAAAGCAGATTCTTTAAGATTATGTTAATGTTTAATAAAGTAAAGTAGGTATTAAATTGTCCATTGCTCCATATTCTCTACTGTTCACTGGTTTTATCATATTTAAACTACTGTGATGACATCACGGGCAATCATTTAAATATTACATAACATTTTCCTTGTATTCTTCAAAGAAAAGCAGTTTGAATTGTTTATTGTGCAACTTATAGAGATCATAATGATTTATTATTTCTTCAACTTGAATTATTAAAATTTGCAGATCTTGTAGAAAAAAAAAATCCTTCACTGAAAAAATACGACGAAAATGAAGGTATTTAAAATCTGTTCAGTGTTAGAGAAGGAAATTACATTGTGAGGGGTTTCAGTAATTTAAAAACAGTTATTGTTTCTGTGTACGGATGGAACAGTTTAAATGAAGAGTTGAAGAAATGTCCAAACATAAAGCAGCTTAAAAAGAATATAAAGAATTGATAAGAATGAGAGATGAAGAAGAAGAAGATGAATGATAGTCAGTGAACAGCAGTGGATGTCCATATTTTTTATATATTCCTTTGCAAGTTTTAAAAAAGAATTTAAATCAAATCAACTAGAAAGAGTTGATAATGTTTCTTGCAGGAGAGGAAACAGAGTAAGAATGAGGAGAGAAGTAAAGAAGCCGTGACAAAAATAATTAAAATAAGAAGCATGCTGGGCAGCATGGTGGTGCAACTGGTAGAGCTGCTGCCTCTTGGCGAGCAGGATACTCTGGTCCAAATCCTGGCTGGGGACCTTTCTGGGGGGAGTTCGCATGTTCTCTCTGTGCATGTGTGGGCTTTGTCCCGGTACTCCAGTTTCCTCCCACTGACCAAAAACATGCATGTTAGACTGATTGGTAACTCTAAATTGTCCCTAGGTGTGAGTGAGAGAGTGAATGGTTGTTTGTCTCGTTTGTCTCTGTGTGTCCCTGTGATGGACTTGCGATTTGTCCAGGGTGTCCCCCGCCTCTCGCACAGTGATTGCTGGTGATGGGCACCAGTGACCCCCATGACCCAAAAAGGAAAAAGGGGGTAAAAATAATTGGATGGATGAAAAAGCATGCTGGATAATATAAAAGTCAGTGATCCAGAATCCGCTCAGTCACTGGTTGCCACAACGATTCCTGCCTTTTCAGGAGCAGGAGTTGGAGGGGCAGCACACAGACAGAAACATAAAGTAAAAAGTAAGCCTAAATAGTAGATATCTGAAAACTCTTTCATGTCAAAGAACTTCTTAAACCTTGAGCTGCAGAAAGTTCTCATGGTCAAATATTCCTTCCGTTTGACCGTTCCTTCCGTCCAGGAGTTCTTTCTGTCTTGGAGTTCCTTTCGTCTGACCGTTCCCTTCAGTCCGAGCATTCCTTCATCTGAGCGTTCCTTTTGGTCTAAGCATTTCTTTCCATCCTAACGTTCCTTTCGGTCTGAACATTCCTTCAGTCCGAGCGTTCCTTCATTCATTCGAACTTTATTTAAACAGATAAATCACACTGAGCCTCGAAGACTCATTTACAAGTGAGACCTGTTAGGACAGACAAAAACAGTGGTTAACTGGACACATGTAGGAGTTGGAGACGAAAAAAATTCCTATCAGACTTTTTTCTTGCCTGAGAAAACCCCCCCTCTAATATAAAAAAAAACACCTCGCACAAACAAGCACATATTTACGTAGACATTCTGCAATCGGAGACGAGAGCGGTCAACAACGCTTATAGATGCTCTCGAGGTCACTGTAAGAGTTCTGATAAGGATGTAATAATCAGGCAATGTCCTCCTGTGAGATCCATAAACATTCTCGAGGTATGATGGGGAATGGCCAAGAATAACCTCTATGAGAATCCAAGAGTCCTGAAATGATGACACAAAGTTTATTCAGCTGGTTCATCTGGTTATCAGTTGGAAATTCCTCAGGGAGGGGTGGGGAGCGTCAGATCACATGTTCTCCAGGCGAATTCAGATAAGGTGGCCTTCAAGGCCAGCCATGGGGAGCCAACTTACATAAACACACAGTTTTGGGTACAGGCAGAACTTAATGACATCTACCTTGAGTCTGTGTTGGTCCACTCGGTTCTGAAATGTCCAAAATAACATGGCCACACTGAAGGAACATGCCTGAGTAAAATCCCCAAGATCTGATCCATTCAGCCCAAAGCATTTGAGTCCGGGTACATGAGACACGAACCAAGCCAACAAAAAGGCAAGCAGCACGATCGGGTCCAAATTTGCTGCCGACAACTTCCTTGATTGTAGATAAAACCAGCACCAGCTGAATCCAAAAAGCAGGAACCAGTTATCAAAAATCCAATTAAATATGCGTCCTTAAAATCCACAAGTGGCAGCAGAGATAAACACATCATCAAGTCTTCAAGTCGATGAGATATCCAGCTGCGTGCCAACAGGGCAAATTGGCTCACCCAAAGCCTGTCTTCTCTTTGAAGAAATGTTGTAAATTGAGTTGAGGGACCAACTGGTCAAAACAGTCCATAATTATGGTTCGGAAGAAATGCAAGAGAGTCTCACAGCAATTTTACAGACAGACAGAGCAGCAAAGCGGAGAGGGAGGGAATCATCCGATCTCGGCAAGAGCAAGTGGTGACTGTTCCTTCTGTTTGACTGTTCCTTCTGTTTGACTGTTCCTTCTGTTTGACTGTTCCTTTTGTTTGACTGTTCCTTCTGTCTGACTGTTCCTTCTGTCTGACTGTTTCTTCTGTTTGACTGTTCCTTCTGTTTGACTGTTCCTCCGAGCGTTCCTTCCGTCGGAGCGTTCCATCCATCTGATCAATGATACAATAAGAGGAAAAAAAAGTTTTACAATATTGTCTGTAAAATTAAAACCTGTCCAGAACACATCGAATCCAACTTCAGTCAGAATTTCAGCCATTTTAGGCTGAACTCTAAAGGTCTTTTATGCTTCTCGTATTGAACACAAACTGAACTTTGTTTTAGATTGTTAAAGGGATCCACTACATCGTAAATCTGGAGATTTCCAGGACCGTGTGTCGTAAACGAGACCACAACAATCTGTTCAACTGTGTCTTCCAGCCGAAAGGTCGTCTGCACCAGGTGAGACTGAGCTCGGAGTCATAGCCTCAAACAGAACTACAAGATTAAAAAAAACAAACATTTGTTTTGTATATTTGAACCTAACAATGTTTTACCATTCACAAAAACCTCTGATCTAAAGTTAAACTTGAATAATGAGCTCAAATTTACTCTTCCAATCATCATTTTTACTTTAAGATGCTGGATTTTCTTTTTGTTCTGCTGTGAACATGTCCAGCATTGTGTTTTTCAGACATTTCAGTGTCACCTGGAAGCTTGGATGATTCCCTGGAAGGATCGGAGCCAAATTCTCAAGTTTTTCTGTAAAACCTGAGGCTACTGACCACAAACATGCAGCAGCCTCCACCAGCCCGCCATGCACCTGACCAGCTGCTAGACACAAGTATCAACAGGATAATATCAATATCTGCAGAAAAATATCCCAGTATTTTCTGATATTTATGGAAATAATAAAACTATAATAAAAATTATATATTAATCTTACGTGTTTAAGTTATAAATTTGTCACTAGACAGTCAAGAGCCTCGCAAACAAAACAAATAAAATCCCAGTTTCTGACTTTTATCCCAGAATTCTGAGATTAAAGTCAGAAATGAGGAAAAAACAAGTTTTTCGTTTTTGCACCATGGCGCTAATTCTCTGCTTCTATGGCACAGAGAGTGGCAGCACAGTTCAACCAGTAAATGAGAGAATGATACCTCTGGTTTTGGAGTTGAAGATAAGCTGCAAAAACAATTTGATATTGTTAGACACACAATTAAAAACATGTTAACAAATGTATTTGGTGCACTTTTACAATGTGATAAAAATACTAATCTGGAAATAATGTACAAGTAGTTGATTGTAGAACATGCCACAAATAATGAATGTTAAAGTTTTCACAAATTTGTTTTCCTTAATGAACAACAGTACAAACAGTGTAAACAATTATAAATCGAATACTTTCTTACCAACTCCCAAAGCTTTGTCAGTCCTGCTATCCCTCATGCTTCTCTCTGCAAAACTGACAACAATAAAATAAAATTCAAATAAAATTACTTTAACCATGTCACATCTTGTTTCTGTGCTTGCATATAAATCTGTGCAAACAAAGGCCTTCTCCACTGGCTTAAACACTATCAGAATAACTAACATTTTAAAACATTTTCCTATTAATTAATATGCACCAAGTTATTGTGATTGGTCTATTCTTTTCATTTTACAGCGTTTCTCCTGATTATGCAGCTTCTAGTAGCATATGTTTATATGGAGCTTTTATCCAATGATATTTCGACCATCATGTGTTGCTAGGGTCAAATAATTCTGCCTCAAGGCCTTCAGAATCAACAACGCAGGCACATGTAGCCTAAAGTAAATGGCACTGGAACTTGCTTTAACTAATCAGATTTTGAGTTGGCGACATCGGTGCCATCTAGCAGGTATTAGACAAAATCATAATTTTCATATTGTTTGACTAGACAGTCAGAGTGAATACTGGGCAGAAATAGGAAACTGCATCTGTAGCGACAAGCTAAGCTACATTACAGTGCCTTGCGAAAGTATTCGGCCCCCTTGAACTTTTCAACCTTTTGCCACATTTCAGGCTTCAAACATAAAGATATTAAATTTAATTTTTTTGTGAAGAATCAACAACAAGCGGGACACAATGGTGAAGTGGAATGAAATTTATTGGATGTGTCAAACTTTTTTAACAAATAAAAAACTGAAAAGTGGGGTGTGCAATATTATTCGGCCCCTTTACTTTCAGTGCAGCAAACTCACTCCAGAAGTTCAGTGAGGATCTATGAATGATCCAATGTTGTCCCAAATGACTGATGATGATCAATAGAATCCACCTGTGTGTAATCAAGTCTTCGTATAAATGCACCTGCTCTGTGATAGTCTCAGGGGTCTGTTCAAAGCGCACAGAGCATCATGAAGCCCAAGGAACACACCAGGCAGGTCCGAGATACTGTTGTGCAGAAGTTCAAAGCCGGATTTGGATACAAAAAGATTTCCCAAGCTTTAAACATCCCAAGGAGCACTGTGCAAGCAATCATATTGAAATGGAAGGAGTATCAGACCACTGCAAATCTACCAAGACCCGGCCGTCCATCTAAACTTTCATCTCGAACAAGGAGAAGACTGATCAGAGATGCAGCCAAGAGGTCCATGATCACTCTGGATGAACTGCAGCTGAGGTGGGAGAGTCTGTCCATAGGACAACAATCAGTCGTACACTGCACAAATCTGGCCTTAATGGAAGAGTGGAAAGAAGAAAGACATTTCTCAAAGATATCCATAAAAAGTGCTGTTTAAAGTTACCCACAAGCACCTGGGAGACACACCAAACATGTGGAAGAAGGTGTTCTGGTCAGATGAAACCAAAATCCAACTGTTTGGCCACAATGCAAAACCCTGAACACACCATCCCCACTGTCAAACATGGTGGTGGCAGCATCATGGTTTGGGACTGCTTTTCATCAGCAGGGACAGGGAAGATGGTCAGAATTGATGGGAAGATGGATGGGGCCAAATACAGGACCATTCTGGAAGAAAACCTGTTTGAGTCTGCAAGAGACTTGAGACTGGGACGGAGATTTATCTTCCAACAAGACAATGATCCAAAACATAAAGCCAAGTCTACAATGGAATGGTTCACAAATAAACGTATCCAGGTGTTGGAATGGCCAAGTCAAAGTCCAGACCTGAATCCAATCGAGAATCTGTGGAAAGAGCTGAAGACTGCTGTTCACAAACGCTCTCCATCCAACCTCACTGAGCTCCAGCTGTTTTGCAAAGAATGGGCAAGAATTTCAGTGTCTCCATGTGCAAAACTGAAAGACATACCCCAAGACACTTGCAGCTGGAACTGCAGCAAAAGGCGGCGCTACAAAGTATTAACACAAGGGGGACGAATAATATTGCACGCCCCACTTTTCAGTTTTCTATTTGTTAAAAAAGTTTGACACATCCAATAAATTTCATTCCACTTCACGATTGTGTCCCACTTGTTGTTGATTCTTCACAAAATATTAAAATTTTATATCTTTATGTTTGAAGCCTGAAATGTGGCAAAAGGTTGAAAAGTTCAAGGGGGCCGAATACTTTCGCAAGGCACTGTATTTAGATTTAATAACTGTTTTTTCAACTCAAAATGGCTGCTTCTGTCGAGCAGACATCCTCAGCCCTAAAACAAATTAAAACGATTAACAGAACAGACTCAACTTTCATCATCAGCCTCCATGGCGATTGAAAAGGACTTACTGTTAGAACTGAAATACACGAATAACCTGCATGACCGAATAATCAAACTCTTCTAGAGGAAAGAAAGGAGGATGGGTTTTGTTCATATTTATGCTTTTGGTAAATATGTATGTGGCGTATCCGCTACATGGGATACCTGTCTCTGATGCAGCGCCCTATTATACTTTGTTGGTATTATGTCTTGCCTGAATTTATTCACCTCTTAATGATGTTATGGTGTCATTAAGAGATGAATAAATTCAGCCAAGACTGGGCCTGTCATGATTACAAACTTTGCTGGGTGACTAACTCTTTCAGAAATTATTGAGATAAACGATAATATTGCTTGAAATTTAACAATAATTAATTGTCAAATTTCAGAAGAAATGTTTTGTTTGGGCAGCACGGTGGCGCAACTAGTAGAGCTGCTGCCTCTCAGCGAACAGGTCCCTGGTTCAAATCCCAGTCCAGGGGCCTTTATGGGTGGAGTTTGCATGTTCTCTCCGTGCATGCGTGGGTTTTCTCCAGGTACTCCAGTTTCCTCCCACTGACCAAAAACATGCATGTTAGACTGATTGGTAACTCTAAATTGTCCCTAGGTGTGAATGAGAGAGTGAATGGTTGTTTGTCTCGTTTGTCTCTATGTGTCCCTGTGATGGACTGGAGGCCCGTCCAAGGTGTACCCCACCCCTCGCACAGTGATTGCCAGACATGGGCACCAGCAACCCCCGTGACCCAAAATGGAAGAAGTTGTGCTGCAAGTTCCTGCCTTCATGACCTCTTGTAAATTAATTATTGTGAGGTCATAATCAGGTCTCTCTCGTAAATGAGTCCTCGAGGCTCAGTGGGATTAACCTGTCTAAATAAAGGTTGAATTAATATTCTTGTTTTTTTCCCCTGTGAGTAGAAGTGCCTGTAAAATGGTAAACAAAACGTTGCCTACAAGTCTTGTTGTACAATATGTTGCTCGCTGGTTTATTATATCCATCCATCCATCCATCGTTTTCCACTTGTTCCAGAGTCGGTTCACGGGGGCAGTATCTTCATCTGCAGTGTTCCCTCAGTGCGGACTGAACTTGGCAAAAGGGTCTTCTCCTACTCCGCTCCTGTTTCCTGGAATATCTTACAAAAAGATCTGAAGCTCTCGACCTTGACCTCTCTAAGTGGCTTTAAGAATCTGTTGGACTCCTGGCAAGGACCAATACAGACATGTTCCTGTTTTTAGTTTTCTACATTTGCCTTAGAATCTAGCTGTTTTTTGTTACTTTTTTTTAGCCATCTTATTTGTAAAAAAAAATAATCTGTATGCCTTTTTATAACTGTCTATTGTTGTCCATTGTTGTCATCATTCTTTGTTGAAATCAGATTTCTTTTGTAAACGAGTCCTCGAGGCTCAATGGGATTTACCTGTATAAATAAAGGTTGAATCTAAAGCAGGGAGGCCCAGCCGTCTCTTCCCCCAGTAGCCACTTCCAGCTCTTCTGGGAGTACACAGGTGCTGGTCATAAAATTAGAACATCATGAAAAAGTTTTATTATTTCAGTAATTCGATTCAAAAATTGAAACTTTTATATTATATTCATTCATTACACACAGACTGATATATTTCAAATGTTTATTTCTTGTAATGTTGATGATTATAACGGAGGCAGCACGGTGGCGCAACCGGTAGAGCTGCTGCCTCTCAGCGAACTGGTCCCTGGTTCAAATCCCAGTCCAGGGGCCTTTCTGGACGGAGTTTGCATGTTCTCTCCGTGCATGCGTGGGTTTTCTCCAGGTGCTCCAGTTTCCTCCCACTGACCAAAAACATGCATGTTAGACTGATTGTTAACTCTAAATTGTCTCTAGGTGTGAGTGAGAGAGTGAATGGTTGTTTGTCTCGTTTGTCTCTGTGTCCCTGTGATGGACTGGAAACCTGCCCAGGGTGTACCCTGCCCCTCGCACAGTGATTGCTGGACATGGGCACCGGCGACCCCCGTGACCCAAAATGGAAGAAGCGGGTAAAAGATAATGGATGGATGGATTATAACAGGCAACTAATGAAAACCCCAAATTCAATATCTCAGAAAATTGGAAAATTGGGAAAAGGTTCAATATTAAATACACCCAGTGCCACAGTCTGATCAGCTAATTAACTCAAAACACCTGCAAAGATTATGTAGCCCGTGGGCTACACAATCATGGGGAAGACTGCTGACTTGACAGGTGTCCAAAAGACGACCATTGACACCTTGCACAAGGAGGGCAAGACAAGGTCATTGCTAAAGATGCTGGCTGTTCACAGAGCTCTGTGTCCAAGCACATTAATAGAGGCAAAGGGAAGGAAAAGATGCCGTAGAAAAAAAGTGTACAAGCAATAGGGATAACCACACCCTGGAGAGGATTGTGAAACAAAACCCATTTCAAAATGTGGGAGAGATTCACAAGAGTGGACTGCAGCTGGAGTCAGTGCTTCAAAAACCACCACGCAGACATATGCAAGACAAGGGTTTCAGCTGTCACATTCCTTGTGTTAAGCTACTCTTGAACAAGAGACAGCATCAGAAGCGTCTTGCCTGGGACTGCTGCTGAGTGGACCAAAGTTATGTTCTCTGATTAAAGTAATTTTTACATTTTCTTTGGAAATCAAGGTCCCAGAGTCTGGAGGAAGAGAGGAGAAGCACAGAATCCATGTTGCTTGAGGTCCAGAGTCAAGTTTCCACAGTCCGTGATGGTTTGGGGTGCCATGTCATCTGCTGGTGTTGGTCCACTGTGTTTTCTGACGTCCAAGGTCAACACAGCCATCTACCAGGAAGTTTTAGAGTACTTCATGCTTCCTGCTGCTGACCAACTTTATGGAGAGGCAGATTTCATTTTTCAGCAGGACTTGGCACCTGCACACAGTTCCAAAGTTGCCAGTACCTGGTTTAAGGACCATGGTATCCCTGTTCTTAATTGGTCAGCAAACTCACCTGACCTTAATCCCATAGAAAATCTATGGTGTATTGTGAAGAGAAAGATGAGATACTCCAGACCAACAATTCAGAAGAGCTGAAGGCCACTATCAGAGCAACCTGGACTCTCAGAACACCTGAGCAGTGCCACAGACTGATCGACTCCATGCCACACGGCATTGATGCAGTAATCCAGGCAAAAGGAGCTACAGCTAAGTATTGATGCTGTACATGCTCATACTTTTCATGCTCATACTTTTCAGTTGGCCAACATTTCTAAAAATCCTTTTTTTTAAATTATTGTTCTTAAATAATATTCTAATTTTCCGAGATACTGAATTTGGGGTTTTCATTAGTTGTCAGTTATAATCATCAACATTAAAAGAAATAAACATTTGAAACATCAGTCTGTGTGTAATGAATGAATATATAGTAATATACAAGTTTCACTTTTTGAATGGAATTACTGAAATAAAATCAACTTTTTCATGATTTCTAATTTTATGGCCAGCACCTGTAGACAGACCGAGCTTAAAGTCCCCGACTCAACTTCCTCCATGGAATATGTGCAAGTGGGATTGAGAAAGTCTGAAAAGTACTCCTTCCACCTCCTAACGGTGTCAGTGAACAGCACCCCACCTTCTCTAGACACTGTGTTGGTAAAGTGCTGCCTTCACTGCCTTAGCCACCTGATGGTTTGCCAGAATTTTCAAAATCAACAAAAATCAACCCCTGAAACATAAATTACAGTATATGAAGTGCTGCGTTCTTTTGTAGTGCCCTGAGACTACGTTTGTTGTGTCATGGCACTATGCAAATAAACTGGATTGAATTATTTTTAAACTGGGAAAATGTCCCATTTGTTTAGGACAGTGGTTTAAAAACGGTACTGCAGCCACTAGGGGGCGCTCATCCAGTGTGGCTCAACATCCTGCGATGCTGGTCTAATAGATGATGTCTCTGAGGTGTAACCTGCGGCTGCATTAGTTACAATGAAGCTCCAGCAGTCCTTAAATGCAGCACGCACTTGTGACTCTGATGCCATGAAAATAAACCAACAGTCCATTCTGAGTGTGGAGTCCATCACATGTTTAAAGCTGATTGTAAAACCCTGCACACATCACTTCCACTTTTTAATGTTTGAGTTTGTGACATTTTATTTGTGCTCACATGTTTACAATTACCCATATTTGCATACAAATTCTTGTACAATTTGGTAAATTCTGCAAAACTCTTAACTTATGATTTCTTATTTTTATTGACCAATTTCTGGGCATAGCATCTTTTGAAGCCTCTGTTCTCTGACTGGACCCGGGTTTGAGAGCTGTTAGTCCATATCTGTAGCAGATAACGGTTTAAATCTACAATGAGCGTAAGTTTGGTTAAATAAAGTTAAATAGTTTAACAAAATTAACAGTGAGAAGTGACCGGAAGGCAGACTACTTATCCAAAAGCTGTGAGCAGGAACCTCCCATAGAACGCTGAAAAGTGTGATAATCAATCCTTTACTAAAAGTTTTATTTTTTAAGCTGCACAGGTTTTACTGTTTTTAAAGTGATTATCAACTTGAACACATCAGGTGTCGGTCCTAAACTGAACGGTAATACTTCATTTTGAGTGTGACAATTATTTTTACTAAAGAAGTCATAAAACATCAAATTTAAACCACAGTCAAACACTTTTAGTAAAATAAAATGTTATTAAATAAAAGAAAGTGAAAGTTAAGTCACTGAAGACGACTTTTCCTTCCTGAAACGTTTAATACCGGTTCCACATCTGTTCACGCCGTCTTTAAACACAACAGATATGAACAGAAGTTAGAAATCGTAAAAAAGACAAGCCCACAGGACTGCCCGCCAGTGTTTGAACCGAGTCCATATAGACAACGAGATTTACAGAAATGTTGGCTCTCTGCAGAAAAACCAGCCATCACTGTTCAACTGATCTTTTAGTCCCAGACAGTCCAAACGTCTGCTCCTCAAACCTTATGCAGATCCAGTTTGGCTATGTACGGCGAGCGAAAGGAACCTATGTACAAATTGCCATCGTGCTCATGGACCTCACTGACGTAGGCTGCCACCAGGCCGTTGGGGTCATGAAAACTCCGTGTGCAGGCGCCACCATCATAGAGCTCTGCCACCAAGCTGTACCGGGGAACGAACCTCATCAGAACATCCTGACTGAAGAGCTGCAGAAGAAAAATGAAGAGGATCAAAGGCACATAAAAGGATGACAAACGATGATTCAGAAGAAAAAATAATAAATGAGAATGAAAGACAGAAAGCAAGGAAAGGACCAAAGAAAAAGTTTTTTTTTTTTTTACCTTGAATATAAATTTTTTAATCCAGGGTCTCTGGGCCAGGAAGTCCAGCATTGAGAAGCCAGGGTTAGGTCTGACTGCAGACATGGCCACCCAGTAGCCTCCATTTGAGCTTGGACGAATATTGTCAGGAAAACCAGGCAGGTTGTCTATGAATGTGTCCATCCCTCCCTTGTTCAGACCGGCTACATGGACTCTTGTGTAGAAACAGAAAAACTAAATGTTAATCTTCAGATCATGGACGTTTCAAGCCAGCCAAGCTATTACCCATCCACAGATAAAATGTATAGTTTTAACAGCTACATAGTGCCCACTGGTGAGGTTTCTGGTCCAGAGTCTCCTTCAGGTGTGTCATTCATTTACCTACGAATCCGAGCCATGGTGGTCTCTGCAACCAGAACAGACTCCTCATCAGGCAACAGCTGGATGCCGTTTGGGAATCGCAGGTTTTCCATGATGACCGAAAGCTCTCTGGTCTCCATATCATACTCCAACACTCTATGGTTTAGACACACAATTTGGGCTTTTATTGTGAAATATCAACAGGAGAAAGTACTTGAAACTTTATGATGTCCCATAAACTTAACTTCAAACTTTGCACTGTGCCATGATAATAACTGAAAACTTTATGATGTACCAAAAAATTGACTTGAAACTTTTTAATGTAACTTAATATTATCTGCAAAACTTTTGCTGATCTATATTAAACTATAAACTTTACATTGTAACATGTTAACTTAAAATGTCATGCCGTAACTTGTTCATAACGTTAAACTTTACACTGTTACTGGTTAACAATGGTAAACTTTACTCTGTAACAGGTTAATAATCTTAATGTCTACAGCGTCAAATTATTAAGTGGTAACATGTAAATAACTTCAGTAACGTGGTATTAACTTGAAGTTTTAGACTGTTACAGGTTTTTGACATGAGGACTCCGCCTCTTTGTATGGTGGAAGTTGTACAGTACCGCCCGTCTGCAGTGGCCTCCATGATGAGGTACATGTAGTTTCTGCGCTGCCACCTGCTGCTGGAGTCAGTGAAGTACACCTTCTTTCCATCCCGTGTCACCGTCAAGTCATTGATGAATGACAACTTCCTGCCAGCGACCACCTGACCACCTGACACCAACTTGGTTGCTGCACCTGCACACAGACATTTGTTCACCTTCAACAACACAAGGGCAGCAGGAGGAGGAGGAGTGGCCAGTGAGAGCTCACCTGTCGTAGGGTTGACTTCAAACAGGCCCAGGTAGGCATCAGCTACAAACAGAGTCCCGTTGGGTCCGACCCTCATCCCCAGAGGCCTCCCACAGGTGGGTTCATCATCGCTGGAGCCTGCAGAACAAACGACAAATCAGCCCACAGGAAGTCCTCACTTTCATCTAATCTGGTTCATACGATCTGAATCAGCCAATATGATAAAGCTTATAGCCAAAAAGATAAAAGAGCCTATGAGAGGTCAGTGAGTGTGGGGTGGATCATACCTGGACACCTGGGCAGGTAAAATGCCCATTACAGGAAAAAAAAAAAAAGCTTTATTCAGGTAGCTTGTTTCAAAAACAAAGTTTGGACTTCATAAGTTATACCTTAAGTTTATGAGGTGAAGTGTTCTCATCATTGAACACACAAGAACAAAATATATCTTCTGCATTTAACCCATCACACACGTGAAATACACACAAGTGGAGCAGCGCTTGGGGATTAGGTGTGTTGCTCAAGGGCAGCACAACATGTGAACACAGAGAAGAGTCAAACTTGTAACTTTCTGGTCCTAAGACACCTGTCCTACCAGTGCACCACAGAAACAGGCTGCTTGTTGGTTGTGCCTAGCAAGCAAACCAGTATTCTGCCTGGTGAACTTTCAGGACACATATCATGTTATAATCTGTTTGAGGAGTTTCAGTCAGAGATCAGCATAGCACAGAAACAGCACTGGGGAAAGTTGCTAATGATATTCTCATGGCCTCTGACAATGGACTTGTTCAAGTTCAAGACAATTTATTGTCATTACCATCACATGGTACATGAGGTGGAACAAAATTATGTACTCAGGGTCCCAGTCACACCCAAAAATAGCAAAATATAAAGTGAAAAAAGAGACGATAAATAAGGATTTAAGATATGCACTAAGATAAACGTTGGCTAAACACTAATAATGTAAAACAATACGGCGTAACAACAGCAGCCCTATGTGTCTATACTGATCCCGTTATGGAAATTTACATAACCGTAAATTTTGACACAGCAAAACCTGTTAGCTATTTGTGTTTAGTAAATAACGACATGGTGAAACCTTTTGCGTTACCATGTTTAATAACAACATGGCATGTTTGTGTTTAATAAATGACACAATGGAATCTGTTGCCTATTTATGTTTAATGAATGTCAACATGGTGGAGCCTGTTACGTGTCTGTTTATTAATAATACAGTGGAAACTGTCATTATTGTTTGTTTGTGTTTAACAAATGGGGGACACAATATTGTGTGTCCATCGTTAATAACATGGTGGATTTAGTTGTGTTTGTGTTCAATTGTGGTCAGATCAAAATACTTTTAAGACTTGGAAATAAACAGATCAGTTGAATATGTCCTGATACATAAAACTCTCAAATTAAAAACTGTGAACTTTCATTTTTCCAGTACTGTAGCTACAACTTGTCAACTTAAAAACTTTCTCTGGACTGAGCACTCGGCTGATTGAGTTTTGTCATGAGAACCTGATTTATGTTTGGACAGTTTTTGTCCTGTTGAGCTCTCTGAGTTGTCAAAAATAATAACCTCATCCAAACCATCCATGTCTACTAGATACCATCACAACCAGACTGTTTAAAGACATTTTCTTCTTAATTAATAATCGCATCTTGGATCTGCTTAATTAGTCTCTAATGAATGGTTATGTACCACAGCATTTTTTGATTGTTGTAATTAAACCTTTACTTAAGAAGTCTGAATTTGATCCAGGAATCCTAGAAAAGTATAGACCTATATCTAATCTAACTTTCATCTACAAACCGGATTCCAAAAAAGTTGGGACACTAAACAAATTGTGAATAAAAACTGAATGCAATGATGTGGAGGTGCCAACATCTAATATTTTATTCAGAATAGAACACAAACACAAATCACAGATCAAAAGTTTAAACTGAGAAAATGTATCATTTTAAGGGAAACATCTGTTGTTTCCAAATTTCATGGCGTCAACAAATCCCAAAAAAGTTGGGACAAGTCCATTTTTACCACTGTGTGGCATCCCCCCTTCTTCTTACAACACTCAACAGACGTCTGGGGACAGAGGAGACCAGTTTCTCAAGTTTAGAAATAGGAATGCTCTCCCATTCATGTCTAATACAGGCCTCTAACTGTTCAATCATCTTGGGCCTTCTTTGTCGCACCTTCCTCTTTATGATGCGCCAAATGTTCTCTATAGGTGAAAGATCTGGACTGCAGGCTGGCCATTTCAGTACCCGGATCCTTCTCCTACGTAGCCATGATGTTGTGATTGCTGCAGAATGTGGTCTGGCATTATCATGTTGAAAAATGCAGGGTCTTCCCTGAAAGAGATGACGTCTAGATGGGAGCATATGTTGTTTTAGAACCTGAACATAGTTCTCTGCATTAATGGTGCCTTTCCAGACATGCAAGCTGCCCATGCCACAAGCGCTCATGCAACCCCATACCACCAGTTATGCAGGCTTCTGAACGGAGCGTTGATAACAACTTGGGCTATCCTTGTCCTCTCTGGTCCGGATGACATGGCGTCCCAGTGTTCCATAAAGAACTTCAAATTGTGACTCATCTGACCACAGAACAGTTTTCCATTTTGCCACACTCCATTTTAAATGACCCCTGGCCCAGTGCAAACGTCTGAGCTTGTGGAGCTTGCTTAGAAATGGCTTCCCCATTGCACTGTAGAGTTTCAGCTGGCAACGGCGGATGGCACGGTGGATTGTGTTCACTGACAATGCTTTCTGGAAGTATTCCTGAGCCCATTCTGTTATTTCCTTGACAGTGGCATTCCTGTTTGAGGTGCAGTGACGTTTAAGGGCCCGGAGATCACGAGCATCCAGTAGAGTTTTACAGGCTTGACCCTTACGCACAGCGATTGTTCCAGATTCTCTGAATCTTTTGATGATGTTATGCACGGTTGATGATGATAACTTAAAAGTCTTTGCTATTTTACGCTGGGTAACACCATTCTGATATTGCTGCACTATCTTTCTGCGCAACAATGGTGGAATTGGTGATCCTCTTACCATCTTGGCTTCTGAGAGACACTGACACTCTGAGAAGCTCTTTTTATACCCAATCATGTTGTCAATTGACCTAATTAGTGTTAATTGGTCTTCCAGCTGTTCGTTATATGCTCAATTTCCTTTTTCCAGCCACTTATTGCTACTTGTCCCAACTTTTTTGGGATTTTTTGACACTGTGAAATTTTGAATCAACATATTTTTCCTTTAAAATGTTACATTTACTCAGATTAAACTTTTGATCTGTCATCTATGTTATATTACAAATAAAATATTGACATTTGCCATCTCCACACCATTGCATTCAGTTTTTATTCACAATTTGTTTAGTGTATCAACTTTTTTGGAATCCGGTTTGTAGTTGCAAATCAATTGTGTGACCATCTGAACAGAAATAATCTGTTTGAAGAGTTTCAATCAGGATTTAGAGCTCACCACAGCACTGAATCTGAACTGGTGAAAGTTGCTAATGACATTCTCATGGCCGCTAAAATTATCAGTAAAATTAGAAACATCTTATCTAAAAATGATGCAGAAAAACTGGTCCATGCATTTGTCACGTCTAGACTGGACTATTGCAATGGTTTATTATCCGGGTGTCCAAATACTTCTTCAGTTGATCCAAAATGCTGCTGCCATTGTCTTAACTAGAGTTAGTAGGAGAGATCATATTTCTCCAGTTTTAGCTTCTCTCCACTGGCTCCCTGTCAAATCCAGAATAAAATACAAAATCTTACTTCTAACCTACAAAGCTCTCAAAAACCTAGCTCCATCTTATATTACAGATCTTATTGTTCCATATTTTCCTAACAGAGCACTTCGCTCTCAGACTGCAGGTTTACTTGTGGTTCCTAGAGTTTCCAAAAGTAGAACAGGAGGCAGATCTTTCAATTATCAGGCTCCTCTCTTGTGGAACCAACTTCCAGTTTCTGTCCATGAGGCTGACACATTGTCCAGTTTTAAGTCTGGGCATAATTGTTATATTTTTTGATAAATCCTATAGTTAGGGTCAGTTATGCTGCTATAGGCTTAGACCAGTGCTTAATTTGAGCCGGATCCTGCCGGAACAGAGTCTGGAAACTCTTATTTTGACAGGGTGCGTTCAGGTAACAGTTTGCTAGGATCCCGCTTGGATCTGGTAAGAGGGCCACCTGCATCATGAACGACCCCACTCACCCAGCACACAAACTTTTTGCCCCGCTCCCCTCAGGAAGGAGGTTAAAGAGCATTAAGTGCAAAACCACTAGACTGAGGAACAGCTTCTACCCTGAGGGTGTTAGACTCATGAATCTCTAACCAGGATAATTACTGTGAAAAAAAAAAAATCACATCATGTTGCTGCTGATCTTTTTCATGTTGCTGTGTTCATGCGTGCTCATCTGCTCACACAGACTCATGTTCGTGCTGCTGTTCAACGTACTGTTTTTTATGTTACTAGTGCTTAGTGTATATTTAGTTAATGTTTTTCTTAGTTCATATCTTAGATCTTATTACTGTTTTTCTTTTACATTTTATTGTTGGATGTAACTGGGACCCTGCATACATAATCTCGTTCCACCACATGTACCACATGAGATGCATATGACAAATCTCTGACTCTGACTAAAGCTATGGACAAATAATGACTGACTTGAACAAATAAAAACTTACTATTGGATATGTAAACTGAAAATAATTACATGAACACCAATTTTAAACAGAACAGCTACAATTTGCCTCTTTAAGTGAAGCCTTCCACGTCTACCCTTAAAAGAGGGGTGGGGGTAAGTGCCGAGCTAACCAGCCAGTCATATAAGGGCAGGAGCCATCAGGCAGGCGCCTGGAGGTTCACATGTGGAGTCGGACAACAATGAGCAGGGACAGAGTTGGGCTCGCTTCCGAGTCCGACTTACTTGGGTGGGGTGGGGTGGGGGGGGGGGCTTGACAGAAGCAGAGTGTTTACAAATGTAGATAAACGTAGATGCTGACAACCTGTTAATATCACATCTACTTTATTCAAATTTTTCATGGGGAGGACCCCCAGACCCTCGCCCACTATTTGCATTCCGGCATTGATCAGTTTACAAATTAAGCCCCGGCTTGGACTGCTGGAGGACAAACTGACCACATTTCTTCACTTTGCTGCTGTCTTTACTTGCTCTATGCTCCTTTGTGCTTGCTCAGGATGGGAGACTGTAATGAAGTGAAGATTGAACACAATCTGCTGCTTCCTTAGATAGAGAACTTTTACTAACTGGCTTTTTTAATGTGTTAATGTTTCTGTTCAGTGCCCTGAGAGGATGTCTGTTGTGACTTGGAGCTATAGAAATAAAATGAATTGAACTGTTTATTTGGCATCATTTAGATTTTAGGAGTGTATTTTTATTACAGTTGAGTTAATGATTACTTTTGTCATTTTGGACAGAAAATAAAATTGTTTAGCAAGTTTGAACTCGTCACTGTGTCAGCGGTGAAAATTTCTTCACACTGGGGTTGACTAACATTTCAACTGAAGGTGAAACGTTCAGGGTGACGCAACAACAAACACATTCCAGGAAACAAGCAAGGTTTAAGGCTTACATTACTCAACAGCACACTGACAGATTTATTCAATACTTTTGTTACCTTCACTCTGTTTTAAAGTGGAAAATTAACCCATTTCCAGAGTAAAGTTTGAACATGGTATTGATGTGGTGCGTCAGTTAGTTGAAAGCATAAACAGGACAAAAAAACACCCAAAGCAAAAAAAATTAACAGAAATTGAAGACCAGATTCTCTGAAAAACCTCAACCTGTCCTCAAAATAATCAAACTTATGAAAAGACTAGAAACATAAAATAAAAAAATTTAGCAATTCAACCTTTTGTTTTCAACCTTGTATAATTTAGTTGTTCTTGTTTTTCTTGTTTTTCAAAAGGAAGGAAGTCTGTTTTTGAATAAGAACATGTTGCAATGAGCCTAAAGAACATTTTACACATATGGGATATAGAAAGACCAATTAATCGAGCAATCGATTTGAATGGGCTGTTATTGGCCGCTTTAATTATTTTTTTAACAGCAATCAGCCATGACTGTGATAAATGAAGATACTGCAGCAGCTGCTACAACCTGTGGCCCACATTTAGTTTTTTAAGCAAGAATACTCTTTCATAAGTTTTTTTTTTTTTTCTCTCCTTTGGTCTACAAGTTGTTCTGGGATTAAGCAATTATCATTTTCATCATAATCTGGTCAATGAAAAATATGTTGACCAAAAGTACAAAAGGGAATTATATACTGATAGTTCTGATTTCTAAAAATTGTTTTCAGCCTCAGCCATCAGATGGCCTCTAACAGGATAGTGATACAGTTAAATGTTTTTTACATGTTTCTTTGTTTACAAGATATCACCACTTGTGTTGGACAACACATTTGAACACTACTTTCTATAACAATAAGGCTAAATGGAAAATACATTA